CTTTCGCGCTCGTATTCGACTTTTCGGCTTTGCTCGGGGGACGACCTTAATTGAAATAGCTGTATATGACAATATGACATTGTACGTACAGTATTCAGTGGCAAGCTACTGTAGCCATGGCAACTGGTCATGCTATGCTAATAAACCTGCATCTATTTGAATAATGCAAATCATTAAAAACATGCATAACATGACTTGTTGCTACAATTTCATATACCTTACTTGTATTAAAATATGCGCAGTACTAGAATTCGCGCTGCGCTGGGTTGCGCGAATGTTAGTAATGTGCGAAATATAATCCACGCGAAAAGCTTTGTGATGTAATATGAGATACGAGGTCAGACACGGCCGGTTCATAGTAATGCAAATCAGTTGATTTATTTAATTAACGCACATCTACACATTTGACATATCATATGTTTTAAGTTGTCCTGTCAATATTAAAAATAAAAAATCTTTTCCTCCTGGACAATTTCAGTCGGGATATTCTCAGTTTCCTCGTAGCATTCCGTTACGAATGCCTGCATTTTGTCAATTTTGCCACAGATCCTCAAACATTGTCGTCAAAGGTTGGCAACGATCATGTGTGAGCGCCGCATTGGAAGAGCCACAACGAAAAGAGGATCCATTTGAACTCTAGCTAAATATATTTGTGTATTTTGAGATATACTGCATGTATTGGTGTGTTGCACTTGTGGGCCACCGTAGTTTTATACCATTTATGAACCTATAATATATGGAAATACTATTGGGACTACTATATATGGGAATACTATTGGGACTACTATATATGGGAATACTATTGGGAATAATATATTGGGAATACTATATATTATTGTAATATATTGTATTAGGCAAATGAGAACCATACAATAGATGTTTTAGTTTTATTACATAATTTTGAAACCATGTTTGAGGCCACCTAGTCGCTTTTTGACTAAGTTTTGATAAAAAATACTCATTATAAATACGTTAATTGTTAATAGTTCTATTAAACAAACCAAAAAAAACGAACACGGAAAATGTCTTGCCCGAATTTAAAGCTGCGCGAATAAGAACAGTGCGCGAAATTAAATCAAGCATGAGTACGACGCGATTATTGTTTTAATGGCACCTTCAAGGCTACCCCTAATGCAGAACAACTGAACAATCTGCTAATGAGGAGACAAAACTATGTTGACATTTTTGTCAGCTTTAGATGACCATTCATTTGTAATGATTAAGATTGTAGAAAGAAATTCTGAGCAGGTGAATATATGAATGTAAGCCTGTGTAATCATATATAAATGCTAACCAATGGACATATCTCGGATACTAAAAGTACATTTTGACTCCTTGTATAAATATAAAGACGATCAGTGGGCTATTAGAACTTCAAATTCATGAAATCATTTTGGTTTCAATACCTCTATATCGAACACTAAACAGCAAATCTAAATATAAATGCATTCATGTATAATTATGTATATCACCAGAAAGAAATAAAGCTATCCTTACAATGAATTATTCAAAATATTGTCGATCCTTTGCATCGTGAAAAACCAACATACTTCCTTTAATTAAATAAGCTCGCATTAAACTGTATTAAATCAGTGGTGGATCCAGCAAAGTTTTTTTTTTGTTTTTTCTTGGGGTTTTTTTTGGGGGGAGGGGGGTGCTAACCAATGGCGAAACGAGCGCCAAAGGCGCGAGATTTCTAGGGTGGTCCGGGGGCATACTCCCCCGGAAAATGTTTAAAATTTGGGTCGACGTCTCTGAAATGGCATTTCCAGCATTCTGAGAAAACATTCTGGAAAATTTTTAGATCCTCAAAACAATTCAAAATTCAGAATATTTAATATTGGTGATACGCAACTGAATTCCTTAACATAAGTTGGTTAGAATTAGGATAAACGTCATTTTTGCACCCCCATGCACCCCTGTTGACCAGATCTCTGTTGACCCCACTGGTATTGGATATGTTTGTTGTGTGTGCGATGTTGTGGTTGATGTTCCCAGAGATCTTAAAGATCACATGGCCACACATGACTCAATCTGAATATTGTTGCCTTTGGCTTTGACTATGCAGCGAGTTTATGCATATGACAGATTCCAGTTTAGGTTTATATGAAATATACATTGGCATTAATATCAAACTAGTTCTTTATATTTCTTATGCCTATTATTTTACTGCTATGTGAGCTAATGTAGATCACTACATAGGCAGAGATTATTTTATGTTCCTGGTGTTAAATGTCTAAAATAAAAAAGTAGAATGTATATAGAATGTAACTAAATTAGGCTTCTTGTCTATGAATTTTATTGACAAGGCCTTTAGCCAGGACAGAAGTTTTGTTTTAGTATGTTTTAATATTTATTTTAGGGGTAACTGGTGTTGTCGTTTGTTGTTTAAAGTTGATTCTTTTCGGATCTTTTTAATTCATTTGATTAGGCTTAGGGTTGCCGTGTTAGACATGACTATTTAACAGCTTTTCCATCTGCCGATAATGCCGGTCATGTCAGTAAGGTGGTTGGAAATGAGTATACTAATCAGGGCGCTTACACGGTTAAAAACAATCAGGTTTTTGCAATATTGTTGTAAAATAGGTTGAACAATGTTGTGCTGTCCACATTGTTCACAGTTGTGAACAATATCGAACAATATTGTTAAACCCGATTCAGGCTCAAGTTGACAAGTGTGAACAGAGGTAAGTAATCTTCGAGTTAAGCCCCGCCTTTCTAGTTAAGCCACGCCCAAACCACACCCATTTCCGTCAAGGGCGTACTGTCGTTCCAATTGAAGTGTTGCTCAATTATTGATTCAATACATTACCTCGGGCTGACCAATTCATTTGATCAAGTTCCTCGAGATATTCATACACTTCCTGTGAAAGAGCCAATTCCAAGTATATATTTGATCATTTCTGGTCACTTCCTTTCTATTTATAATTGGTTAGTTGCACAAACAACAAAGGTGATTGGTGCATTCAAACTATTCAACAGGAAGTTTACAATTATACTAGGAAGTGTATGAATATCTCGAGGAACTTGATGAAATGAATTGGTCAGCCCGAGGTAATGTATTGAATCAATATTTGAGCAACACCGTTCAATTGAAACGACAGTAACTCGAAGAAAGAAAAACAACTTGGAAAGTTCGAGTTAAACCCCGTGAAAAAAGAGGGACTTAACTCGAAGTCATTGAAAATATTCGACGATCGAGTTAAGCCCCGACATTTGAGCCATGTAAAAGAGCAATGATCTGAGTCGTCCACAATCTAGCTGGAAATAGTTATTATACGTCTCGGCTTAAATTGCCGTAAATAAGTTGCAGCCTAAATGAGTCAAGAACAACTTGTGTAAACAGTCAAGTTTCATTAAGTAACAGATTATTTTTGACTAGCTTTTGTACCTCGCGGCTTTATTTCGCGTAAAAGGTCAATTAATTCTTAAATCGTAATAAGCTCAGAGGTATAAAAACTAAAATTGACTGTTTATACGAGTTGTTCGTGAATAATTTAGGCTGCAGCTTATTTAATCCGAGAAGTATGATAACTATTTCCAGCTAGATCATGGACGACTCAAATCATTGCTCTTTCACATGCTTCAAATGGCGGGGCTTAACTCGAGCATCGAATATTTTCAATGACGTCGACGAATTAATTAAGCTCCAATTTTTTCAAGGGTCTTAACTCAAACTTTCCAAGTTGTGTTTTTTTCTTCGAGTTTAGCCCTTGATGAAAATGGATGTGGTTTGGGCGTAGCCGGAGCTTAACTCGAGAAGGGCTCAACTCGAAGGTTGGACAACATTGTCCAACCCTGTCAGCGCGCTCATAATTTTTACGCGCGGGAATATATCATAGATATCTTATATACACTAGATAGCGCATCTCTTTTAGTAAAATTGAAGCCAAGAATATTCCAGCGGTTACACCCATTTGAATAGATGGCGGCCATGTTGGTCGTTCCCACTTGCTAATAAACGCTTAAAAACAACAATAACTTTCATCATTTGAATAGTTTAAAAACGTATTTGGAATAGGGTTAACTTAATGTTTAATTTCCCTGTTTAAGAAATAGAAAACACACGAATCTTCTCATTTTATGGGAACGACCTGAGTCTGCAATCACGGCTTCAATTTTTGAATTCCAGAATAATTAGATGCACTATCTAGTGTATATAAGATATCTATGGTATATATCGATATAAGCATCCTCAGTACCAGTGCTATGCGGACCACAGGCGGCCCAATCTTACCCTGTGTTATTAATTACGTTATATCTTTATATAAATAGTATATTGAAAATCATTAGAAAATCCTGTGTTATTAATTTATTACGTTATATCTTTATATAATAGTATAATGAAAAGCACTTACATGTGTTTCTTGAAAGATTTTAACGAGAACCGGCCAAGATTGGCGTTGACAAGAGGTTAACGGCCATAGTTGGGGTTGACATGGAGATTAACAGCAAGAAATAATACAAGGCTGGTCACTTACCGTTAATTGGATTAATTGGGACAAACGCTGACAGAAATCAATCGAATAACGCGAACTTCGGCTGTCGCATCCTCGCCAAATTACGTTACATCGGAAGAGCGATAATTTTTACATAATATACTTTTCTTTAACAGGATTAAACAATAATTTTCCTGCAGAAAATGCCAATTGAAACTTACAAATGTCTAATCTTCCGCGGTTCGGCACCGATATGAATTCATGACCTTCAAATTCGAATTACACGATGCATTGTCATTGGTCGGCTTTAATTCAAAACAACAACAGAACAAATACTGAGACGTATATATTTAAAAGGTAGAGAACAATTTTATTGTTTTAAAATAGTAGTAAAATACTGAGTTTTCGTAATTTCTTTCAGGGAAATTTAATTAAATCTGCTGTTTCTGGAATTTTTGTTCATTTTTTTTTCAATTTATGGAAATTTCTGCTTTCCCAGATGGAAATTCCAAATTTGAAAGTGGAAGCACTGTTGCATAATTTTTTTCGAATGTTGTTATTCTATAAATTTCATTGATTTCGGGTCTGAACTAACCAGACTTCTTTCCTGTAAAATTTCTCACTCTCTTGAAGATAAAGAACGTTAACGCGATTTCTATATATAGTTTTGATAATAATTTATTTATAATAAAAATGTCTGATCGTTGTGAGCAAAGAGGAACAAAAAATGGAAAGAAGCCTTTTGAATGTGATGTTTGTAAGAAGAGATATAACAAATCAGATCACTTAGCTGTGCATAAAAGAACACACTCTGAAGACAAACCTTATATGAATGCGATGTTTGTAAGAAGACATTTACACAATCAGGTAATTTAGCAACGCATCAACGCACACACACTGGAGACAAACCTTATGAATGTGATGTGTGTAAGAAGAAATTTAGACAATCAGGTAATTTAACTATACACAAACGAACACATACTGGAGACAAGCCTTATGAATGCGATGTTTGTGAGAAGAGATTTAGACAATCAGGTAATTTAACTATACACAAAAGAACACACACTGGAGACAAGCCTTATGAATGTGATGTTTGTAAGAAGAGATTTAAAGTATCAAATCATTTGGTAAAACACAAGAGAACACATACTGGCGACAAGCCTTATAGATGTGATGTTTGTAAGAAGAAATTTTCACAATCGAGTAATTTAGCTGTACATAAGAGAAGACATACTGGAGACAAACGTTATCAATGTGATGTTTGTAAGAAGAGAGTTATGCAATTAAGAATTCTTAATTGGCACAAAAAGGAGCATTTGTTTTGCAGTAGTTGCCACAAAGTGATTATTGAACCACAAGATTTTCAAGGACACTTTGTTGAGGATAAAAGCAGTGGAAAATATGCTTGTAACAAATGTAACAAACGATTCTCAAATTTCATGACATTGGTTCAACATTTAGCGAGACACCATGGCAATGATGGAAACTATCAATGTGGTTTATGTCAAGAACTTAAATCAAAAGGACCAACTGGTGTTGGATATGTTTGCTGTGTGTGCGATGTTGTGTTTGATGTTCCCAGAGATCTTGAAGATCACATGGCCACCCATGACACAATCTGAATATTGTTGCCGGCTTTGAGTATGCAGCGAGTTTATGCATATGACAGATTCCAGTTTAGTTTTACATGAAATATACATTGGCATTTGTATCAGACTAGTTATTTATATTTCTTGAGCCGGTTACAGACGAGCAAGTTTTCTATGACAAGTTTTTATGTAACGAGTTTTATTTGCTTGTCTGTACGCGCAACTTTGACAATTTTTTCTATGACAAGTGCACTTGTTCATAAGCTAGCATGCTAGCATGGGTCAGCAAAGAAAACTTGTCAAAGTAAACTTGTTGACACGTTCACACCAGTAAATAAAACTTGTCATATGAAAACTTGTCATATATAATTTGTTGCATTTACGCACGTGCACTTGGCAAATAAAACTTGTCACATAAAAACTTCTCATAGAAAACGTGGTCGTCTGTAACCGGCTTAACTAGTGTTGTCGTTTGTTGTGTTGAAGAGTTGAGAACTGTTACTTGATTCGAAGTGATATTGATATATGTTATTAAATTATAATTGGATGTAATAACGGAAAAAATAAAGTTGAATAATTAAAATGTTAAACAGTCGTGAGAGTACTATAGTCTAAAATATTCTACAGGTCACTGCGTGTCAAAACAGACGTTCAAAACACTGATACATGCATGACACAAACTGTCTACAGAGATCATGTCTATAGGACATTGATTCCTGTTTGGTTTGATTGACATGTAAAAATTAGCATATTGGACAATTGTATTTTAAGGTTGATTTCTTTGAAAATGTAAGACACAGAAATGTACGTGATCCGGAATTGGAAAACCCAAATACCATTATAAAGGCAGTTGCAGTTGGACATTTAATTTTAGAGTGAAACTGATAACTAGATAAGTAGATAGATAACTATAAGTCAAGACCAGCTATACAGAGCAATTTTGGACAGAGAATTTGTCTAAAAAAGTTAACTTGACTTGTGGCTCAAAGAGGTCATTTTTCTGCTCTTGTATTAAAGTACGTAGGTCATATACCGTTTTTTTATACCTAGAACGTAGAATCGTGTTTAAAAGTCTTCATATAATTATAGATGCTCTGGGATTTCTTTAAATTTCACAGTGGGACTGGGGTTTGATCTGAAAAAGGGCTTTGAAATGGGGTTTATAGAAATTTTATCTGGAAACCTCTTTGCAGTATTAGTTGCCACGGTTAAAACTTTTCACTTGTTTCCTACCATCAAACTGACCGTCATTTTCTCAATTTTTAAAGTTGATTTTTTTCGCATTTTCTTGATTCATTTAGTTAGGCTTAATAGGGTTGCCGTGTTAAGGGCCAGACACACCGGGTGCGATTCGGCAACGCGACGCGATTTATTAATTTTTGAAAGTTAATTATTACTATTACTAGAAATACATGCATACAAGTGATGCAACAACCCCTCGCCTATATTTTCCAAACATTGTTTCAACATGAAGTATTCGTAATTACGCCAACACTGAACCACACTGAACGCAGGCTCGTGCTGCCACGCCATGTTACTCATGGCAAAGATTAAGTATATAAAGATGGCCGACTCGCGGAAAATCCTGTCCCCACTTTTTCACTGCGCATGCGTGAGAGTCTGGTAAGCGCCGAACTAAATTTTTGTATTGAAGTTAATGGAGAAATGCCGAATTTTCGCGATAAAACAGCGATTTTAAAAACATCTGCCGTCCGATCTTTATTTTGAGGACAAAATTTGAAAGAATATGTCAAGCTGCGTCTGTTGAACAGTAGATTATTACACGAATATGTTTAAAACGAACGAAAATTTGGATAAACGACCTCCGAAGGAGTGAGATTTTATACTGTCAACAAGTCAGGTGAGATTCTTTTCATTTCTTGATCGTTTTTCGATAGTGTTTTGTGAAATTTCGTACCTTAGACAACAGATGCAAATAGGACTATTGCTAACTGACACTAAAAACATGTTTAGGATGCGTATAACTAGAGTTTTTATATATATACAGACAATTTACTGCAGAGTTTGATCGTTCTATTTTACTCCACAGTCTGAAACTGAATCGTGCAGTAATTTTAAAGTATTTCTAATGTCTTGATGATTTTAGGTTTATTATAATGTCAAGTGCTATTTGTATGCGTTGCATGGATATTTTTTAATTTGGATAATTTATACTTTTGATAAAAAGAAAAAAAATTGTGCAAAAAAAGTTTATGTTTGACAATTGTGAAAATCAAGGTCAAAATAATTTATTATAATGTAAAATGTTTTAAAAACTAATATATACATTGAAATTATCAAAACATATTAGGAATACATGTATAAAACGAGATAAATTGGAATGAATTACGTTTTTGCCTTTGAAAAACTAAATTTGTGTATTTTAGTATTGATCATTCACTACTGTACACAAATTTTACTATGTTTTTAAACCAAACCATTAAACGAATATTCACAAAAGACACAAAATATGATGAAATACATGCCAGTAATTTAATTTCCTTTCAAAACCTTTAACTTTGAATGTGCATGTTGTGTTATTACTTATTTGGACTCTTGAAACTCAAGAAATTGTCTTTGTAGCAAGCACCTTGTCTGTCATAAATCTGCTATATGTATTATGCACTTGTCATCGGACCCACCACCACCACCACCCACACACCCACCCCGGGGAAACATGGGTGGGTGGGAGGTGTAGTTTGAGGACAAGATTAGGCATGATTACATGTGGGCTACCCATACTCCTATGGGTAGCCTATTGTCGAATGGACGACCGATGTTTTTCGCACAAGAAGCCATATGTTAGTGTTCTATGTTTAAAGTTATTCATCATTCTACTTTAAATATTCCATGTTTGAAACTTTTACTAAATGTGTTGGTCTAGAAGTGGCTTTGGCCTGTTTTGCTTGCCCCTATGTGTGGGGCTTTTTCTTTCATTAGTTTCTAAAAAAGTCTATTTATGCCCATGTTTCCCCTGGGGTGGAGGGGTGCGTGTTTCCGATGACAAGTGTATTAGGCACTGTTTCAAAGCTAATTTTACTGAGTGCAATGGTCCAAATAAGCAATAACTCACCATGTGCAATAGTCCAAACAAGCAATAACTCACATATACAAACAAAATGTTTAATAATTACAATAATATTTAATTACTGTTATTGGATCAGTTATCCAGTAGCATTTTAATATAATGAGGGATATGCTTTGATACCATTTTCTTCGGTAACAAAAATAATTGCTATTTCTTGGCAGCTTGATAGATAGATAGATCAACTTTATTTAAACACATTGGCCTTTTCAGCAAAAGCTGATTTCCAAAAGGGATGTGTACTTACAAATTATTATTTATATACTAGTTCTAATATTACATACATAACAAGTACAATTATATACCTATTTAGACAAAAAATTAACTACTACTTTAAGTCGAGATTAAGGTCGAGGAAGATAGCTTTTTACAGAACGAATTATACGATACCGAATTGCGTATCTCTTCAGGTATCTGATTCCATAGTTTGGCCCCACTATATTGGAAGCTTTTTTTTAAGGATTCCGTTTTTGGTCTTGGAATATAAAACCTTGTTGAAGAACCTCTCAGATTATGGTCATGAATGGTATTCAGATTTTGGAAAGCTTCACATAGTCGTTGGGGGGCTAAACCATTAACTGTCTTGTACATGAGCCTGGCTTTCATTTGTGCCCTACGCTCTTCAAATGTTACCCAGCCTAGAGATTTTTGTGCCAAAATAGACTGACCATGTTCATTTTTTAAGTTCATGATCAACCTAGCAGCTCTGTTTTGGAATTTCTGTAGACGTTCACTTAGGCCTTTATTAAGTGTATCCCATACTTCACAGCAATAATCAAAATAAGGTTGGATTAAGGCATTATAAACTTTTATCAAAATGTCTTGTTCGACATACTCCCTCATTTTTCTAATAGCCCCAATACCTGATGATATTTTACTGCTAATATGGTTAATGTGTTTTTCCCAACTCAAGTTTTCGTCTAATTCAACTCCAAGAGCTTTGGTATTTTTAACTTTTTTAATCAATTGATTATTTATTTTAACTCCTTGATGGGTATCAATATTACTTATTTTATGTCGTGTTCCAATTAAAACATACTCGGTTTTCGCTATATTTAGACTTAGTTTATTTGCACAAAACCATTTCTGAACATTCCTCATGTCTACGTTCGCCCTCTCTTCCGCCTCACTAATTGTTCTGCCTACTGCCGTTAAGTTAGTATCATCAGCAAACATTCTTGGAGTTGTGCGTGCTAGGCAGCTTGGCAAATCATTTATATACATAATAAATAAGAGAGGGCCGAGTATACTTCCCTGAGGAATGCCACAAATGATTTTTTTTTCCACCGAGAGTATACTGGCCAATTGACAACTTTGAGTTCGGTGCGTCAAATAGCAACGTAAAAGATTTAATGCTTTCCTTTGGAAACCATACATTTCAAACTTACTTAACAGTATTTCGTGGTCGACTGTATCGAATGCTTTTTTTAGGTCAAGAAAAACAACTAAGTTATACAGCCCACGGTCCATGTTGGTATACCATTCGTTCGTACAATCCAATAATGTAGTAGTTATGGAATGATAAGGTCTGAAACCAAATTGGTGTTTTGAGAAAAGATTATTCTGGTTAAGATACTCATACATTTGATCATACATAATTCTTTCCATAAGTTTACTTACTACAGGAAGGATTGATATAAGGATTGATATTGAGTGCAATCAGAGAAAGCAGTATCTAACACAACTCACATTATGTTTGAAGAGGTGCACATGTATGTTTACATTTAACAATACTATAAGTTTTGTATACCCTAATAAGGGTTAAGTCAATGTGGAATATACAATAAAATAATCAAACTCAGAACATCAAAATGTATAGAATATTTGACAGTATTTTTCAAATTGGATAGCTAAGCATTCCACAAAACAATTAATTTGTTGATCAACAATCCATTGTCATTGCCTTTTACCCAGATAGTCAAAGAGCAGATTTGTAGTTCTTTTAACATGGAAAGTCTATCATTCAACTAAAAAGAGAATAATTTGATTATTTATTGGGTGTATTTTACAGAAATACAATTGGATGAAACACAGCTGCACACACAGAGACAACCAGTGTGTGGTTGTATTTATTATAAGGAGGGACCGTCAATGGTCAAACAAATGTCTATATACAAAATAATGCTTACTGACTATAAATGCAAGTCATTGGTTAAGTACACTACCTGGACAACTGATATTGTTATATATTTAAGCATAGGAATGTGTTTATATTGGTACCCGACTCAATTCAATAAATTCAAATCTCCAAAATTTCAGTTAACAGTATAGTGTTTGGTCTCAAAGATATATTTCAGGTCTAAATGCTTTTACTATCTTTGCTTTTACTACATTTTGGTACTAGCCTAACAAAATAATATTTCTATATATTTGAATATTGTTTGTATTTATAGTATATTGTTTGTAATCTGTACAGTAAATAAAAACTCTGGTTGTACGCATCCCAAACATATTTTTAGTGTCAGTTAGCAATAGTCCTATATGCATCTGTTGTCTAAGGTACGAAATTTCACAAAACACTATCGAAAAACGATCAAGAAATGAAAAGAATCTCACCTGACTTGTTGACAGTATAAGATCTCACTCCTTCGGAGGTCATTTATCCAAATTTTCGTTCGTTTTAAACATATTCGTGTAATAATTTTCCGTTCAACAGACGCAGCTTGACATATTCTTTCAAATTTTGTCCTCAAAATAAAGATCGGACGGCAGATGTTTTTAAAATTGCTGTTTTATTGCGAAAATTCGACATTTCTCCATTAACTTCAATACAAAAATTTAGTTCGGCGCTTACCAGACGAAACGCGTGGAAACCGCGTGGGCTTTCGAAACGGGGGACACCGAGAACAAAGGAATTTTCCGCGAGTCGGCCATCTTTATATACTTAATCTTTGCTGGGACGGCTTGTTTGTCTTTTTCGAAGCAAATTTTTGTTTTCTTGTTACCTGTTCATTCCTGTATTGTTTTCAATCAGTTGTCAAGATATGTGCAAGAAAAGGCTATATAATACTGGGCAAGTGTTTCCTGATGAATTAGTATGGACATTCAATAAGTTTTTTTTAGAAAAAAGTTATTTTTTGATATTTTGAAATGTGAACTTTGTTGCATCATTTGGAATAAATACAACAGCTGCAGGTATTGTTTGCGAGCTAATTGTAGCCTATTCAATCAAGTTTGTCAACTGTTCAGTATAAATATAGCATCAGTGTTTATATTGGTAAAATTTAATACTGTTTACGATAGTTTTTCACGCTGGAAAGCGTTTTTTTGCTTGTCCTACTTTTTGCACTGTTGTGACAGAGCAACTAAAATTGATTGAGTTTTTACTGCTTTTAAGTGATTTTATTTTTCTATTTTCACACGTTTTCCTGATCTTAAACAGTTGTTAATATAACTTCAGTTTAGTTTGTTCTAAAATATTTGTTTTGGTGAAGATTACTAGCGGTATTGAAGTGGTTATTAACAATGCTTGCAGTTTTGTTGATTTGTTTATGGCGACCGAAAGTATTTGTCGAAAATCAACCGTCGTCCAAAATTTAGCGAAATACAGGAAAAACAACCTTGTCAATGGAAAAACTTTAGCTAGTATCATTAAACTATACATGGGGAACAAAATAGGATGATTTTTATTATGCATAGTCTCATATTTTTTTTCAAAAGAAGCAAAAATCTGTGACGTTCTAGAGAGGACGTGAAAATTGTATTTTCGTGTCGTGAAATCGTCCAAGACACAGATGAGGTAAGTACAGATGTGAATCTCCTGTGAAATTGCTGATTGTTTTGTGTCACACGGAATTCTCACTTCCGACGAGCGCTGGCAAGTGTCATTCTGAAATTTAATAAGGAAAGAGATAGGAAAACGCCGTTCGAAAGACGAAAATTTTTTTTTAAAATTTTTATTTAGCAAAAGTTTGTTTTTTTCCCTATCTACTTCTTATTAAAATCGTGAAATACACTTGCTGGGAATTTCAGATGCTCGTGTATAAATAACAAAACAGCAAATGATATAAATGCCTCAAAACATAACTCTCGCATAAAAAAACATGAATACTTCTATAATATGTATAGTTTTATTCCTCTGCATTATCAAAATTTAATAAAATAGTGAATTAATACAATTTTAAAGTTTATTTAATCCGTGTGACACATTTTCACAGGAGATTCACATCTGTATTACCTCATCTGTGTCCAAGACGACGTCGCAAACTAGAAGCTGACGATAGTTGGCGCCAAATGACGACATCCACGTCCTCTTGACGTCCGCGTCTTGTTATCTCAAACCGTCTATTACGTAACTAACGGGGTATGTATGTCTAGGGTACTCTTTAACAAATTATCGAAAATAAGTAACTTAGCATTGACGTCCTCAAGTTCGTGGATCAAATCCAATGTGTTATGTTGACGGGTCAAATCCAATCTAAATTCCATTGGATTGTATCTCTTAAAGCTACGGATCGTTTTAAAAGATTGTTGTGGTTCAGGAACTTTCATTCTAACAATAGCATAAACTGGGAGATTGTCGCTAATACAGGTACTAAGGACACCGCTTGACTTAATCAAAGGAGGTGATGATGTTATTATAAAATCCAGTAATGATGCACTTTTGTTGCTAACTCTTGTATGGTCTTCGATAACTTGTGTTAGGTTATGAATGTCTGTAATGCTTTACAATCAGTACTGTCTTTATGAATGTCTGTAATGCTTTACAAATTACAATCAGTACTGTCTCTGTCAGTACTGTCTTTAACGAGAAATTGTGTGGAAACACGACGCCCTTCGGGCGAATTTCCACTCGTGTTGATATAACTGTATATCAACACGGACAATGTTTTATATTTGTTAAATATGACACTATGCAACACTATACAACAACACTATACTACACTATACTATACTACACTAATAGACGACTATTATACAAGACTATATATACAACTACAAGACTAAACAAGACTATACAACGTTATACAAGACTATACATCACTATATGTCATTTCGATGTTTTCCTTCGTGGTTGAGTTAATAGTTATATACCCTGTGCCTGTGAGCAGAGCCTTAATATCAAATCTTCAATCATTTTCACGTTTTTCTTCGTAAATCATAACTGAACATTTGCCAACATTGACTGACATGCCTGCATCATCCTGCACATTGTCAACACAGTATACTAATAATTGGCTAAAACGTACCTGCAAAAAATAATTTTCTAACGAAATTATTGTCTTTTAATATTTGTGAAGAAATTATCGTTTTTTATATTTTTCATCATGGCGGAAAGTACAGAACGAGAGCTTTACGGCGTCTTACGAGCAATTACTGCCCATCAGAAATCCAAATTTCTTCTATATTTTGAATCATCTTACGAGCAATTACTGGCCATCAGAAATCCAAATTTCTTCTATATTTTGAATCAAGCTGCATCGTTATAACTCGGTCAAGGAAACTGGCACGAGTCTTAACGTCAAAATCAGTTGTCAAGAATAGTGTGCTGCTTACATGACTTATGCATTATGGGCATTCAATTAAGTATCGATATTATTTTGACGGTATATTCAATTTCAATATACAAAGCTAGAAAGCAGCGAGACAGTGTTGTTTTGTCTTTTGAAATTATGAACATTTCAGGCATGAATATTGAGAAAATCTTTGAGATTCTACGCAATATATAAATTGATGTTTTGCATTACGGGCATTCAATTAATTATAAGTGCCGATATTAGTTTGACGATATATTCATTATACAGAGCTAGGAAGCAGCGAGACAGTGTTCAGGGGCGTAGGAAGCATCAAAAAGTTGGGGGGGGGGGG